CGTCGCTACAAATTTTGGATCTTTCCTAAACACCAAGAGAAATTGTGACTAGTAGCGAACCTTGATGCATGGTGGTCAGTGGTCGAATCAGTGGTCGAAGTCTTTTCAGAAGATCCAAGTCTCGGAAACCGCTTTCAAAGGTCACAGGGAGATTTCAGAGATTTCCTGTGCGCGTGCATATATATATATATAACAGTTTCTAAAGCACCTTTGCGAATCAAGTGGCAGTGAATGTAGAAAGCAGGGCACAGTTGACACAAGATGCTCACTTGTGGTGTAACGTTCTCCCGGGACGACCATCTGGGCTGCGCCAAATTGATGAGGGGGCCTATGCGCTCTTGGAGCACTTTCAAGAACTTGAGACATTGAATCCTGGCGAAGTACATTTCCTTTGAATGTGTCTCCTGTGCAGAATATCTGTGAGGGTTGGAAGCTCGGTGATCCCCTCTTGCTGCAGTCTGAAATTTGAAATCGTGAGGACTTTGGAAGATCTCACAATGCTGTGCCACAAGAAGGGTTTACCGATCGATGCTGGGCGTTGCATAATTTGAAAAGCTTGAACTAAGCAAGGTTGAACACGTTTGAATGTGTGATGTGAGTAATTACGTATATATATATATATATTACATGATGTAGATGTATATAGCTGAGGAGCCATGCATCGATCCAGCCATGATGAAGGAGCGGCTGAAGCTCTTGGCGTTCTGGGAGCAGTTGCCATGGGAGGAGTTGGAGACCGAGTGCTGGAGGCAAGGTGGGACGTGGTTGACGTTTGCACACATATTTGCGATTGGAGAATGCTTGCGCAGTGGTTTTGATCTAGTTGTTATGATCCATGCAGCAGAGGGACTTCAAGCATTCCATGATTTTGCCAGCTTTCAGGAGAGGCCTACGGTCTTCTGCCGCTCCTTTCTTTGGCTCTGTGGCAGCATGAAAGCAATGTTTGGACGACATGAATCCTCGGCTTTGGTGTGAGGTCTCACGGTGGACTCCCAAACAAGATTTTCTCCAAAGATGTCAACTTGTTTTGCTCCCAATGGTAGACATATTAAGTGCGGGAATAGGAGGTGCCTCCCCTTGTTGTGAATTTGCTAAAGCGTTTTGCCAGGCTACTTTCAACAATCGGTGCCTCGACAAGAGCTGATGCGTATCCTCATTCAGGTGCGTTTGTCAAGCCTTTTCCTGAAGTGAGGCTTTGACACGGGAATCATGGTGTGTTGGCTAATGCTGGGTTGCTGAAACACACTGTAGAGCTGCACAGTCAATCAGTGTGGAACACCTCAGACTTTGCACAATGATGCGCTGGCTCGATGGCTGGGGCGTGAAGGACATGCTGTGTCGGGGCTCTTGAAGCACATGCCAAGATGACATCATGACGACATACAAGAAGACACGACATGCATGTGCCCCTAGTAGCGTCCTTGCTCCTAGTAGCGATGCCAGGAGCTCCTAGTAGCGAACATGGCTCCTAGTAGTAAGGCCAGGAGCCCCTAGTAGCGTTCTTGCTCTTGCTGTCTGTAAAGGGTCTCAAAGAAATGCTTCTTGGGCCTTTGCCTTTACACTTTACACCCAAGGAGGACGAGAGGGTGAGGAAAGCTGTGCAGATGACGAACTGACGAGCGCTCCTGTCACTCAATATTGTTTAAACATATAAATCTCGGAGTGATCGTTTATTCAATTCTATCGTGAAAGCTATAACATCTGCAGCTCTTCTAAGGAAGATGATCTTGATGGTCCCTTTGTTTGCTTAGAGTGTGGCTGCTGGGCTCACCCCGATGGAGAGGCTGCGTGGGTTGATGGCCACAAGTACCTTGACTGGTGAAGAAAATGCAATGGTTTTGGAAGGGATGGGGCTGAAAGAGGTTGATTGAACTGATGAACCTACCCATCTAACCTAAACTAGCCTAGCCTAACCCAACCTAACCTACCTACCCGTACGCATGTACGCACACATCCAGGTGCTGTGACGAGTGTGCCCTGCGCATCTACTACGAAGAGAAAGAGAAGGTGCGACAAGAGAGCCATGCTTTGCTTCTTCCACCTCAAAGTTAGGTAGAGGCAGAGGAAAATAGACTCAAGAAACAAGCCGACAGCACTTGATTCATTTGATTTCTGTTATTGTTTTTCAATATGACACGCCAGGAGGCACACTTTGCTGCTCACTGCGACGAGGACCTGGAAGAAGCAGAAGTGTTCCTGAGTTGCACAACAGTGAGTTCTGCTGCACAATCAACCTGATCAATGAACCCTTGTGTAGCTTTTTTTTAAAGGGGGTAGGCCATAGAAGAGATAGCTAGGTAGCTAGTAGTAGGTAGGTAGCTAGTAGCTTAGGTAGCTACTACCTAGGACGCAGGATAGCTCATGCTTCTTCAAGGAAGCTCCCCCCTGCCTGAGAGCGGGGGGAGCTTCCTTGAAGAAGCGCTCGCACGATTCATTTTGTTCCGAGATTTTTAGGGAAACTTCAGTGACAAAGGGGCTGCGGCAATGAACAAGATCTTGTCCGTAAATCAATGAAGCGAGTCATGGTGGGGGTATGTACCCCGCACATATTTCTAGACGTGGCCAAACTCGGGTTCCGGTTCCTGTATTCGCACAGGTTTGACTGGCTCCATAAATGGCGGGCTTCAAAGACGCTTGGCCGTGAAGAAGCAAGCTGCTAACCTATTTCCCACATGAGTACACGCCAGGATTGGCCGTCATGCTTAATCCTGTCTGACTTAGTAGAGATAGAGAGAGAGAGAGAGAGGGAGCAGAGGAGCAGAGCAAAGGGTCTGCAGGCGGATGCGGGTGGTCAAATTCTCGATCAATAAGCACATGTTTGCCGAGGTGCAAGGAGACATATGTTGAGCCAGCGCCAGAGCCTTCTCCGTTCGAGGACATCCTCGATGTTTTAAACGAGTCAGCGTATTCATGGATGCCAACAACATCTAGGCAACCATTGTGCAGAACGTCATACTGTAGCATCGATCTGCCTTTTCTTAGACGCAAAGTGTGGTAGAACCTATCCTTTTGAGCCACAAAGGGGATCATTGTATTTTGCTGCTAAATGGGACACCAATTGATCAGAGCACTTTTTCTGGGGCCAGCAGTTCACCTTGAAGGAAAAGACAGAGGTCTTCCACTCAGGGGCCACTTGGATGAAACTTTGAGTCGAAGCTATTGGCATTGGACCATTGGAGCGCCTGACGTAGCAGAAGATGCCTGACTTGCTTTGAGGCCTTTTTTCCACCAACGGAGTCAGAGGGAGAAACTGGCTTGGAAGAGCAGATAGTTTGCCAGCACATTGAACGACAACTTCAAGGTTTCAAGGACCGATTTTCGAGCAAAGATGAAACCGAACAGTACTGGTAGTCGCCTTGCCAGCTGCTTTTCTCTAAAGGAGAAGTAAACAAGGTTCTTTGGTTTTCTGCTTTCGGATCCAGTCTGGCCGCAGGTCTTACATTTTGGGGCCATCTGAACCAGGGGGAACAGATGGGACTCCTCCGATTAGTGTAACAAAACGCCAGGTGCTGAGGGCTTTCGCCATGACCTTTTATGCTACTGCACAGTGCAGCATCTCTGCAGGATGTCTCAGAGTCTGAAAACGCTTGCTGGACCGTCATTGCAGACCTTCCAACTGATGCATCGGACGGCGAGGAGATGGTTTGTGCAGCATTGCCGACATTCTTGGCAAACATGGTGACTTGATGCTTGCATAGTCTTTAAACTTTTTTTAACCACCCAAGCCACTGTGGACCTGCAGGAGACTCCCTTTGCAGCTGCACGGTGCCGGATCTTTGAGAGGCCAGAAGCAGACGTCCTCAAGGAGAATTTGGTTCCGCTGGAGCCCATAGCACGGGGTATGCCACAGCAAGTGACCTGACTTGAGTTTAGCAGCCACGTGAATGGTTCTTAACTTCAAACTGAACCACTATGTGTCCGATTTGGCTTGGTAGATCACAATTTAAGCAATTGTGATGCATTTGCAAGGTGACCGCAGAGCCAATGCTGAAGCCACCCACACTTGCTGTCGCACCACTTGCGCCCCCGCTTCCACAAAATGAATCAGTGCAGCTTAGCAGTTGAATGCAGACTTTGTACTCTGGTGACAGACAGTGAAGACAATTTAAAGATCGAAGGCTTCTGTTTTGTTGCTCTTGTGCTACCCGCGAGAGATGCGCTGGAGCGCTTGAAAGTGACACTTGAGGAATGGCGGGCTCCATGCTTGCTTCTGTTACGCTTCTCCTTTGGTAAAGGGCCTTCGAGAACTGAACGTTCGCGCAGAATGGGAGGCTAGACAATTTGTCACTCTCTGCTGAATTGTTTGTTTGTCCAGAGGGGAATCTAGTTTCGATCCGACATGTTGCAATTGGACGCATTTAAGGCTTTTCTGCAGACGCTTTTCATCTCACAAAGAAACGAGAACCTTTTTTCCTTTTTTGCAGATCAGTTGTGGCAGGCCATTGTAGCGGCGGACGGCATCCACTTGGAGGTGCACACTGCCACAAGTGACCAACTTGAAGAGGTGCCATGGCAAGACTCGAGACGCAGCGGATTCCATGGGCACAAACGCGAAGTTGAGTCCTTTTCTATGAAAGGACAAGGCATCCTAAGGTCCTAAGGCATCATGAGGCAAGGTTTTATTGAGAGGTTTGGATTCTGTGAAGGTTTGTTTGATGTTGCAGTTTCGGCAATGCTCACAGGTGCTGCTCAGTCGGAAAAGCCCCAAGCTCAGCTCAACTCGCCTCAGCTGGACTCAACGGCAGCTCTCTGGCCTGGAAATTTGAGGCCCAGAGATCCTACATGTTGCAGCTCATTGCACCGAAAACGAAGGCGTGGTTGGGGCAAAATGTATACTGACCTATGACCT